TATATCTGTGTGTATATCTGTGTATATCTGTGTGTATCTGTGTATATCTGTGTGTATCTGTGTATATCTGTGTGTATCTGTGTATATCTGTGTATATCTGTGTGTATCTGTGTATATCTGTGTATATCTGTGTGTATCTGTATATGATGTTGCTGCTTTAAATCTGCCTATTATGTTCTGAGCATGTGGATCTGCATGTGAGCTGTGGCGCCTCTGTAGCTATCTGTTTYTCTTTCTACCAGCTGAAGTAACATTACAGAACGTCAGACTGTTTTGAATGTAAGGTGATTCTTTGACCTGAGAATAGGCTACAGCCGTGTAATATATAATGTCTAATTTAAACTATTTTCAGTTCAAAGAAGCAGCAGAATAYAAGGTCGAAATCTGAGTCCGTTTGGAAAAATGACAATGACAAGAGGTGCTTTTCAAAAAAATTTGAGCTCACTTGTGTCTGAGGCTCAAAAATCTGTAGGGAGGCACCTGCTGGTCATCTCTGGGATTGCAACAGTTTTGAACTGGAGAGATAGATTAACTGTAAATTCAATCTATGTCCCAGTACATGTTGCCTCTGCATTGGAACTAGCCATGTTAAAAAACCTTACCACAAACAAAACAAAACAAAATAATGGGACAAAATGCTTGACCTGCACGGGCCCGAGCAGGAAAAATTTAACTTTGAAAGGCAGAAAATCAAAAGGGAGGAGACAGGTAAAAAAGGAGCAGTAAAGAGGGGAAAACAATTCAAATTAGGGAGAAACAAAAAAGAAATAAGAGGAAACAAGAACATAATAAAGAGAATAACAAGTGTAAATTTACTAAGAATAAATGAAAACAAAAGGAAGGAAGGGATTCTAACAGGGCCGTTTCATCTTGAATGCTWAGCAAAACATCTATTCGTTACTTCTGAGTGTGGATATACCTTTAAATGACAAAACTTTACTCGTTTCAACTCTTAAAAATGCTGGTGAACATGAAGCTAAGATACTAATTTGTTGGTGAGTGGAGAATGTATCAGCTGCTGCTGGGGGTTTGTGGCATACTGTATGTGGACAACTGATAATTACTGTTAATTACTG